CAGTTTCAGGTTCATTAAACATCCAAGTTCTCTGAAATTTATAACTGACTTTTGAGAATTTGCTGTCCGTTGAATATACACTCTTTCGGTTTAGTATCGTTGATTTTGGGAAATTTATTGCACACTACCTGTAACATTCACCTCCTTTATCCAAACGAATAGCTTCATTAGTTGAAGTTTTTTGTGTAGTGGAGGAAGAAGAACCTTATATGGATCTACTATTGACATAAATGAAATAGACCCCTGAATTTGGAAACCGATATTAAGAAAACGTAGGGGCAAAAAAATTGGTTTGGACTTCACTATTACTCTATTGTGTGCTAAAATTTCAGTTAGTTTTGTTATCCCATTTTTGAGTTATTAACGAAAATGTTGAAAAAATCCTGCCTACAAAATTGATACCTCTCACTTTAACTCGTCGTAATTTTTTTGTTAATTGATAAAAAAATTCCAAATTTTTACTGACGATAAGTCGAACTATTGTCTTTAGTACTGTGAAGGTCATTTGTCTGAAAAGCTCTTCTTTTTTTATTTTTAAGCAAAACAGAAGGGAGTGCTATCTGCGTAAATAATGCATTCTTTAAAAAAAAGAAAAAAACTGACTCGAGTAGTAAATAATTGCAAACAACAATATGAAAAAATTTACTGTATATCCTGCATCAGACGTGAACGTAATTGACCATCCGATACTGTTTTTAAAAATATCATATTTATAACTGTATTATTTTAACAATTTTTTTCAGATTATGTTTACAGTTATTTACTACCTGTCAGTTTTTTAAAGAACGCAATATTTACGGAGATAGCACCCTCTTCTGTTTTACTTAAAAATAAAAAAAGAAGAGCTTTTGAGACAAATGACCTTCACAGTACTAAAGACAATAATTCGACTTATCGTCAGTAAAAATTTGGAACTTTTTTATCAATTTATCAGAAAACCGTGATTTTTTCAACATTTTCATTAATAACTAAAAACTGGGATAACGAAACTAACTGAAATTTGAGTACACAATAGAGTAATAGTGAAGCTATATATGGTTCAAATTTAAATTTTTTTGCCCCTACGTTTTCTTAATATCGGTTTCCAAACTCAGGGGTCTATTTCATTTATTTCGATAGTATTAAAGAGCTTGAGTAACGTTAACATAATATACTGAATTCAGATCTCCTTGGTTGTCAAAGTTTTTGCTCATAGTGATTCTTCCTATCTCTACTGTCCCATAAACTCAGAAAACAGATACTTGGTAAATCCTGATTGCTGCTCCAAGTGTTGATTTTGAAATTTCCACAAATCTGCTTTGTTGAATGTGTTATTGGAGCTAAAGCATACTTATTGCCACTATGTAGCAGAATTGCCTTCAAGCTGCATCGTTTCGAGGAGTCAACATCCACTTGTCTTTATAAGTGTCTTGTTGATTATACTTTTAATGTCAGAACAATACACTAACATACCCTCTTCGTACCAAGAAAAATTCAATTTCCAAAAACTTGTTTCACGTGATCGATACATTGCTGGATTGGTTCCTTCAAATGGGATATTTTTTTCAGTTATCTAGCTAAAATCAGCTCTGTCTTTTGGTAACCTACCCTACCTTACCTTAATTCATTCTAATTAAACGTTTACCGATGTATCTGTCTATCTCACGATATATATTCGTTTGTATTTTGAGTTAAATTGTCAGTTAATATTCCTAGAATCAGACGCGGTTATTCCTTTATGCCTCTGTTCTGTAATAGTTCAAAACATTGTCTTCATTTGTTTATAATGGTAGTCGACACATACAATTTTTGTACTATCCGTTTGCAGATCGTTTTCAAAGAATAATCTAGATAATATAATTTCTAAACACCCATTTTACATAATCAAATCCTAAACAAACATAAACCTCCAAGTCATAAATATTTTCATTCCACCCATGCAATTAGCATGTAAAAATGTAAACATGATTGTCTACAATGCATAGACCTATCTATCTTTTTTTTACGTCTGAAATCACATGTACTATTATCTTCGTCTGTTCTCGATAACGCATTGTTTAAAATTCCTCAAATAGCTCACATTCGATAATTGCAGTCAGGTATTTATTTAGATGACAAATGTTCCAAGCATTTGATAACCTGCCAGGTTCTTTCAAATTAAAACTACTGTTTCGCAAATGCTGTTGTTTCTAATCTGCGCTAAAGTAATGACTACTTTCCCGATAAATGTTTAAGCAACGTTAAATGGGAAGAGCAATCGGTAATAGGTGAATGAATTAATTTTATTAATAGAGAATAATACTCAAATTGTAGGTACATAGTATGCAGTTAAAATAATCATGTAAATAAATAGTAATATAAAATTAAAAATTTAAGATTTTTTCACAAGAATTCATTTCTTTAAAAAATAATAATTAGGCGAAGCATTCTGGAAATATAGATACAAATTTTGTTTTTTCTTATACACATTCAAATCATATACTCTATAGATGCGTAATACTGAGAAACAATTTTAAAGAACGATTCCTTAGGCTATTGAATATATCCAAAAAAACAGGGTTAAAAGGAACTATGACGGTTAAGCAATTTTATTGCATGAATTGTTCAAAGGGTAATTTTAGATGAAAAAACCGCGGAGTGCTATTAAATAAGAAGGTGGAAATTGGAGATAGGGGTGAAAATGCACCCCTTTCAGTTTTTTAATTGTAGCTCGAGAACGAAGCAAAATTTCGCTATAGTTTATAAGAAAAATTATTTAGAGAATTGAATTTCCCATGGAAATAACTTATTTAAAAAATTGAAAAGGAAAATTTTATGCAAAAAAATCGTTAATAAACAATCTGAAAAAAAAACAAAACATTCGATTTTCTGATTTTTGTTACATTTTTGCCTCTAGTTTTTTTTGAGTAAAGGTAGGTATAGGCATTGCTTCATAGAAAAAAAAATAGATAAAATTTTCTTCAAAACAAGATGTTTGGACGAAAATTGATATATGGCCGCTCAAACTTAGCAAATTTTTCGATTTTCGTCGCGTTTACTCTTATACGTTTTAATTCTAATCATTTGCAAAAATAGAAGGAAATAAGGCGTTCAAGGATTTTCATCACATGACTTGTTCGAAGGATCATTAAAAATGAAAAAAACTTTAAATTGAAGATAGGGGTGAAAATGCACTTTTGCAGTTTTTTAAATATAGCATTAAAACGAAACAAAATTTCGGTATAGTTCATAGGAAAAATTTTGTGTAAAAAATGTAAATGGAAAATTTTATGCAAAAAATCGTTAATAAACAATTTTAAAGGAAGCAAAAAATAAGATTTTTTTTTTTTTACTTTTTTAATTAACTAGTTTAGTAAAAACTTGATAATTTATGTACAATAAAGTTTATTAATAATGTATATACAGTCTGTCCACGGATAGAGTTGACAAGAGAAGAAACTCTTTTGTTTTTGACTTTATCGAAAAATGTTACTCTTTATAAAAAGTTCTGCCTCTCGAAAAAATGAGACTGTCATACAAACATCTTAGATTAGATATACAGGGTGCCCATAAATTAAAAAAACACGAAAATACTCAAGAGAGAAGTACCATTATTTGTTATTTTACACAACATTTTTATAAAACAAATCTGTTTATAACCTCAAATAATGCACTAATACAAAAAATTAAAATTTCAATTCTGACTTTTACTCTATATGTATAGCTACTCCCCACCTCAAAAATTGAAATTTTGATTTTAAAATTTGTATTAGGACATTATTTGAGGTTATAAAGAGATCTGTTTTATANGAAAATCGAAAATTTGGCTAAGTTTGAGCGGCCATATATCAGTCAATTTTCATCTAAAAATACTTTCTCTTGTTTTGAAGGAAATTTTGTTTACTTTTTTTTTATGAAGCATTGCTTATACCTATCTTTACTCAAAAAAAAACTAGAGGCAAAAAAGTTAAAAAAAACAGAAAATTGAATTTTTTGCTTTTTTCAAATTTTTTATTAACGATTTTTTTGCATAAAATTTTCCTTTTAAATTTTTTAAATAAGCTGCATGGGAAATTCAATTCTATAAATAATTTTTCCTATAAACAATAGTAAAATTTTGCTTCGTTTTCGAGCTACAATTAAAAAACTGAAAGGGGTGCAATTTCACCCCTATCTCCACGATTCATGTAACAAAATATCTTGAACGACATAGTTCCTTTTAAAATCCTATATTCAGTAGCCTACCTGTCCAAATTAGGGTGTAAACGTGTTACAGAGCTCTCAAACAGTTTCATTCTTCTAAACATATACCTAATAAACTTGATTTTTTTTTTCATGTTCTCAAATATATGTAGTACAAATCTGCCACTGCAAAATTTTAGGTAAATCGCGACCATCATGACCAAAATCTTAATAGAGCTCCAATTCTCCACCAAGCCTTCCAAGTACATACTCTACAAATTTCTTCAAGTATTCTGTTTCATTTCAGAGAGTTCGCCGATGTCAGCTCGAAACTTCCCCCCCTCGTTCTGGAACAGCCAGCATTACAGCGGCGCCGCCGGCACCGGCCACCACGGCGCCTCCGCCGCCGACCTTTACTCCGAGCACTACCACCCCGGCGACGCCTGGTACCAGTACAGCCAGCACCACCGGGCAGTGCACGATTACCACCACCACAACATGGCGGCTCAATACGGGGGCCTCCTCTTGCCGGGTTCTAGGTTACACATGAGCTCCCACGCTCCCTGTAAGGCGATGGACTGGCAGCACCCCTCGATTGAGTCGCCGTACTCGTCATACCCCACCATGTCAGGTAAATAGACAGAAATAGATATTGTAGAAAAAAAATCGGTTTTGTTGAAAATAGAGACAATTCTCAGTCAGCTTTTGAGAATTGGTGGCTAACTAATATGTTTGTTGCATAATCGAAATCTTTCTAAAATGAATTAAAACCCTTTAAAAGCCTTTGATGAATAGACGGAAGTGAAATGGAATATAGCAGAAAAACTTGGGAATGCTGAAAACGGAAGCATTTCTCACTCAGCTTTAGTGATCAATACACGAGTTAGAAGATAACTGAGAATGTTAATTTTTTGTAACAAGATCTTTTTAAAAACAATTAAAATCTTTTGAAATCCTTGGACAGATAAATGGAAAAAGAGTAGCAAAAAACATCCATTGTGCTGGAAGTAGAGATCAGCTCAATCAGCTTCAGAAAATTACCAATAAGCGTTCAAATTTTTTAGTTAGTTTTCAAAGCCAAAGCTTTTTAAAATTAACATCAATGTTATCCTTGTGTAGCAAAAAGTTTTAAATATGCTGAAGAGAACTGCCGATAGCTTAACAATATACAACTCGAAGATTAACTGAGAATATCTATTACATTTACCAAAACTGTTTTTACAATCCTTTGGACAGGTAAACAGACAGGAATATAAATTGTAGAAGAAACATTTCTGTCTGAAATTAGAGACAAGAAATTATTCTGATTTCAGACAGAAGCCTGTTGCAGAGAGTGTAGCAATGGAAAACTTAGAAGTTATCTGACCTGCATCTACCAAAACTTTTTAAAATAAACTAAAATTCTTTGAGATCCTTGGACGGCTAGATAGAAATGGAAAGTGTAGCGAAAAACTTCGATTATACTAAAACTAAAGTCTTTTTTCAGTCAGCTTCCGAGAACTACCTACAGCGTAACAATAGAAAACTGAAGTGTTATCTGATCTGCATCTAACAAAACTGTTTTAAAATTCCTGGGAAAAACAAGTTAGGTTATGTTAAAAATATAGACATTTCACAGTCAGCTTCAGAGATTTAACGAATGATAATGATCTACTGCATAAGTCAAAAATTTTTTAAAATAAATTAAAGTTCCTTAAAATCCTTGGATGTATAGATAGAAATGGAATGTATAGCAAAAAACTTCTTTTATGCTGAGAATATTTGACATTTGTCACTCAGCTTCAGACAGCTATCTTGGAAATAATACTAACTGATAATATC